TTCCAAAAACCGCTCAGTTAAACTTTTCCAGCACTGTCCTTACGCTTTGCTAAATTAAAAAGAAAAAAAAAAATAACAAAGCGACAACCTCGGCGCAAATTCCGATATTTAGTCGATCCCACGCTGGGAATTTTGGCTGTGCCGTCGAGCAAATGGAAAATGTCCGATTCCAAATTCTTCCAGCCGCTTTGGGGTGAAGCGCGCTCGGCGGCTAAGTTGGCAGCTTCACCTGAATCACGGAGGCCGGATTAGAATTCATCCAACCCGCTCTGCGCGGAGTTCGCTAATCAGGTGGTGCGGGGTGCCGGCGAAAGTGAAGGTGCATGTATGCAGCGATGTGGAAACAGCCGTATAACTCGCCGGCCGAGTGGCTTTTTAGTATGCGGGATCTGTACATTCAACTATTTAATTTCTCCTTCTTCCCTCAGTGCACTGAGCTTTTGATTCGATATCCTCGAGCAACCTTAGCTAAAATCCCGGTGCATCAATGGAATCCTACTAATGTTATAAAGGCGAAAGTTTGTATGTATGGATGGATGTTTGTTACTCTTTCACGCAAATACCACTGAATGGATTTTAACGAAATTTTACAGTAATATAGCTTATACATCAGAATACATAGACTATAGTTTATATACATATTTTATGTATATCTGTCTGCATTCAGCCTATTCTACGCAGACGTAGTGGCGGGCAGCAGCTAGTAAAGAAAATTTTTCTCAGTGGTGAAGGCCGCTACGCCGGTTTCAAAAACATTGTTTGGAAACCGGCGTGGTTTCAAAATGGTAATAAAGAACATATCGAAGATATGTGAAGTCTGCCAATCATCGGCGGAGTGTCATGGTGGACTATGCCCTTATACCTTTGTACAGGGGAGGCATTTACTTTATTTCTTTCACTTGCCCTCATCGCACCTAATTGGGGTTAGCATGAGAATGGTATTAATGTTAATGGTATTCACTAGATTTTCTACGACTGCCGTCTTGATTTCAACCCACCTTGAGAACAAATACTCAAATCCGGAACAATTATCTGTGGATCAAACAAACACTTGCTCCTCCGGTGTGGAAATCGGATTAAATTCAACTATTACAAGTATAGATTACGAATGTGTGACAAGTGTCACACACTTATCACTATTAGATACTCGAATAGAACTAGCGATGATGCCTGAAAACGTATTTCGTAAATTATTCTTCATTACTTATCTGTTGTAGGGCCACGTAGCAGCCTCGGCTGTTGCACGAATGGGCAAGCCCGTCCGGATAAGTACCACGACCTCACAGAAGACCAGCGTAAAGTGGGAGTATGACAAATACTTTCGCGTTTCGTCTGGTGAGTGAGGTTGCCGGAGCCCATTTTCAAAAGGTTGTCAACGCATCTGCAACCCTCGGGTGTAGCAGATGTCCATGGGCGGCGGTATTCACTTAACATCAGGTGAACCGTTTGCTTGTTTGACAACTTTTCACATAAAAACAAAAAAAAACTGGCTATAATGGCGTCCGTGACAGAAATGATAATGTAATCAATGTGTGTATATATATATATATATATATATATAATATATATATATATATATATATATATATATATATATATATATATGTGTGTATCGTATATCGATATAATCTCAGATGAATGGTTTTATTTTTATATTCTTCTATTTTTTTTAGTGAGAATTACATTTGTAGGTGACACGTGTGTTGTCAATCTCAAAAGAAGTGGGCCCCTGTCTACCTCACTCGCTAGATGAAACGCATAAGTAGTATAATACTTCCACTTTACAATGAACCGTCACACCACTGCACTTCGCGGTCTTATCGACTGGATGTAAAATAAATTCGAAACTATTAAACAAAAGTAGCAATGTTCGACGACCCGATTGGCTTACTGAGTAGTGACTCTGCCTCTCGCGCCAGAGGTTGTGGGTTCGATACCCACTACTGGAAAAATATTGTGTAATGAACACTGTGTTTTTCCAGTGTCTGTGTTTATACATTTTGTGTTTATATATTTGCAAAAGGAATGTATCCTTAAGTATGTTTAGCAGTTATCTAGTACCCATACAAGCGTTGCTTAGTTGTGACTTGAGAGCGATGTTTAAAAAGTGTCCCGAATAATTCTTTATAATTTATTTACAACTCACACGTTTGACTGTTATCTCGTCTTATCTCATCCCCCTGGAGCAACCCCAAAAAGAGCAAAGCCAAGATCAACATCGCTTAATATTCGCGCGGGCGGCCAAAGTTCCGCGCGCCTCATTCATTATTTTCAACAAAGAATGCTTAATGCAATACAAACACCTCGACGAACTTCCCTCTGGTGAGAGGTTTTTTTATACCATCCGCTTAGATGAAATTATCTCTTGATGGAGTGTTAGTGTTAGTGTTAGATTAGTAAGAAATACCGCAAAGATTTTATAAAACTTCGAAAACAAAGTACATTTTTACACAACGTTTTCTAGTCCCAAACTACGCAAAGCTTGTACCCTGTATACTAGATAACTGATAAACATACTTTTCTTTTTTAAATAAATACATATTATAAATATATAAATACCTGGAAAAACACTATATTCAGACACACACAATATTTTTCCAGTGAGCTCAGTACCAGCTATGCCAAGCGTGTTTTTTTTTAATTTTTTAAAAGAAACCTAGCAAAAGCTTTAGAAGTTTTAAATTTTGGCTGGGAATATATATGATTCCAGACAGCTTACGGGAATGTAATTTCCCTGTCAGTGGGTGGTGAATTTTTCTGTGCTAATCTGCTGTGGACCGTAAAATTGGGGTCTGCCTACGGTTGTTAACACCGCGACAGGGCCCTTCATACTGTCAAAACTCTTATCCCTTCATTCTGCGTATCGAAAACGAGATTCGTAATATCTAATTCGAACAGATGCGCCTCCGTTCATGTTTAAGCGCGTTTCGCCGGATTATGTTTGTTCGTTCGGGTGTGGTAACGTATTTCGGCGTTTCTGTGGGGGCTTTCGGCTGTTGTTATCAGGCCTTTTGTCGATTCCACCGGGTGTGGAATGTGTTACTTTTGTAGAAGATTCTTGCCTTTTTTAACCGACTCCAAAAAGGCGTTTTTATTTTGATTTTTAATACCCGACGTTTCGAACCCTCTCCAGCGTTCATTATCACGGGACAGACTGGGTTGTTACACGTCTTAATGTCAACCCGGGTTAACTAACCGGTTAATTAACTGCCGTCAATTATTTTGTTATTTATTTTTATTCCGATCTACGCAAAAGAGCTTATAGTATCTTGGGGTCTAACAGTGTTTGTGTGCTTCGATTTGATTTTATAAATTATGGGACCCCAAGCAGATGGTAAACCCCAACCATCTTCTCTTGAAAATATTATATTTCTTTATTTCAATAGTCTCAAAACCTCCTTTTTTCGTAGATCGGAATAAAAATGAAAAACAAAATACAATACATATTGAATCATGCTTACACGTAGAAACGTCAACGTGACTGTATCGGTGTACAGTCGGTATTGATTTCAGTTTTTAATGGCTACGAACGATAATTATCATTTATTATTCAGTGGACAGCTGACTTTTAAAAGCAAACACACCATTAAATGATGGTTCAGGATACGAATAGAAGTTGACTACAAATTGAAGACAACTGCAATACTTTGGGGCAGTAAAATATTGTTATTAAAATAATATTATAGATAATACGTAATTTTAGATAGATTTAATGTTGTAAATATTGGAAGTATAAATTAAAACAAAATAATTTTGAGAATTATGTATATAAATGAGTATACCATTATTATATATATAAGTTCAGTAACAAGAAGTTATAGGCTTAATTCAAATTGACATTATATATTTCTAAATTTGTCTAACGCATTGGCTTGTTGTATGTATCCAACATTCTTCGTAAATATTGTGAACTGCAGCTATTTCGTAAAGGGAAAAAAACAAAGTCAAAGGACATTCCACTGAATGGGGTGCGGCATAATATCAGCTCATAATAGCAAAGTGGGGGTCGTTTGACAAACACAGCGTTCGGGGTAAATATTTCCACTACGGTCGTCTGGAGCGGCAATCGTTGCAGTACCTGCAATTCTAATAAAACTGCCTCGATGTTTCCTTTATTTTCTCTCGCCGATACATTGTCGGTCGGAGCATTCGTCTGGTTGTTCCGCGGGAAATCCTCGAACGCAGCATTATTATATTGAACGTAAAATCACTTTGTTTGTATGCCCGCATAAAGTTTTCGAATGAAAATCTTACCTACTTTGTATCCACAACAAAATATTTCAGCTATTCAGTGAACATGAAGTATTTAAGTCTTATTCGTGAACCATTAGATTTTTTTGTTGTCATAAGGAATTTAAAACTTATAAATATACTTTTGAGTTTTCAATATACATATAAAGTTACGATAGCAAATGACAAAACAGTCTAAACTATATTCATTTACAAATTTGTTCTGATTGCAGATCTGAACAAATTTTGATTATTGTTCTCTCACTGCCGTACGTTTCAAACTGTCTATGTATTTTATCCTTTTCATTATAAAGTTTACCCTCTACTTATTATTAAATAGCGTAAACTCTAGAGGTAAAGGACAGAAGGCTTAGATCCTCTCTGTTGTTGGGTTTGTTTGTGTGAGTCTTAGTAATAGTATTGCTTTTTTATGTAGAAGGGGGGTGGGGCATAAGTGAAAAATTAGCGGGTGTACTTTTTATATAAACAGTGGCAAGTGTGCAAATGCGCCAAAGTGCACGGCCACCCATCTCGGAACATTAGAGTAGTTACAATTTCTTATTACTTGAATGTTGGTACGCAATTCCAAAGCTGTCGTATATATCCAAAGGCGGTGCTAATTACGGTTTAAATAATCATCAGGATCATTAATGCTACCTTAACCTGTAAACAGCAAACTTCCGCCGCTGCAGCTATCACGCTGGACAAACCAACACCGCGATGTCCCGCGCTCGTATCATTGTGTTTGCGGCGTTGTGTAATCTGTGCTAATGCGTTCCGCTCCATTCGCGGCACGTAGCCTGGCTTACGGCGGTCGAAAACAGGGCGTTAATGTCGGCCATCGCTGAAGTGCTGCCGTTTGACAACGCTCCGTGTTTGCTCCGACCCGCCTGGAGGCACGTGTTTTGAGTAAGCGATAGCCACACTAGCTCTGCACGTGTTTCCGTTTAAACAGTGGTTCGGCAGATGCGGCATGTGCTAGCGATTTCTAGAACGTTCCATTGTATCCTATTCTCTGAGATAACTGTGTTCGCTTTTCCACGAATGGTCAGGTCCGTCCCGGGAGTACCACGATCTAACAGAAGATCGGCGTAAAGTGGGAGTGCTACTACTGCGTTGCGTTTGGTGAGTTAGGTAGCCGGGGCTCACTTTATTAAAAAGCAACTGGCCTGCAACCCAACTAATGTTCCAAAAGTCCTTGGGAGGCGTTTAAAACTAAACTTAAGATGAATTGCCAGCTCGCTTGCCATCTTTTCACATATACAAAAAACTCACAGTAGACCGGCGTAAAGCAGAAGTTCTGATAACAAAGGAGCTGTTTTCATAAATTAGAAACGGCAGCTGTGGATTTTCATAGGTTGTTATTATAACAATACTTTATACACTGAGAATTCTTTGCTCTCTTTCTGCTTTCTTTGCATATTTAATGAAAGTTAAATTAATAAAGATTTCCAATTTAGATTTCACCATAAGAAATATTCTTTTTTTTAAACACTATTCTTTCGCTTAGCGGGTGATCTACTCAATTCATCCAACTGTAACAACCTTATTGGAAGCACGATCGCAGAACTTGATATCCCGCATTCTTGTTATGCATCCAAGCTCGGATAAAATCCGAGCTTACTACATACTTGGGAATTTTATTAACAAATTCATTGATCTATGCATTTGTTATGTAGGCACACGCTTGTTCTAATTTTAGTTTATTTTAATTAGAGTTAATTACTATAATAATAATGTTATTGAAAATTGCGTATAATCAAAACTTAACAAGCTTTTTATTCGAATAAAATTATTGGGATTAAATAACACATATTTTATTACGTATGATAATAAGTAAAAGTTATATGTAACTCAATTGCAGTAGTTGCTAAATTACCAGAGTAAGATTTGGGCGGTGGATTCTACGGACGAGTAATACTTGAGAGATTTGTGATAAATTTTATTATTTCCGTGCATATCACTGCGAATAGTATACCTTAATGTCTCTGCGTAATATGATTTTATAGTAAGAGGAACTTTACGTAGTTATATATGTTTTGTTTTGTGATCCATAACTAACCCAGTTATCAGTGGTGTTGTTACCAATGTAGTTTGTATTGTATAAATATAGTCCTCTGTAGTATATTAATAGTAATGTTTTGGGATTATATAAGGTCTGTAAAATATTATATATATATATATATATATATATATATATATATATATTATAATAACTGTCTGATTCAGTCAAAACTGTGAGGGTTAAAGACTTAAGTGGTTATACAATATTATTTTAAAAATCATGTACGCTAAAGATATAAAACTCAGCAACTATTCTGCCAAGTTGCCACCTCTTATCGCTGAAGTAAAAATTTGCCAAGTTACGTGTACGAAGCCGATGCAAGTTTCCCCACCGACCTTACGTTTACAACTCCTGAATATGAAATGATTCACACGTTCTGGTTATATTTACCAAAGAACTATTTCAGTTTACCAACAAAAAAGAATTATTCTAAAGACTGAAATATAGTAAATTCAATGTCGTTGCCGATGGATGCAGGTGGCTCAGGATCGTACTTCATGGCAGTCTATGGGGGAGGCCTATGTTCAGCAGTGGACTCAAACAGGCTGAAATGATGATGATGATGATGATGAAATGTCGTTCGTTCATAAGTTTAAAAATCTTTGTTGTATTTTTCTTCCACAGACGAAGCTTGTAAGGCATTACACCTTATATGAATGTTACTTTCCGTTGTATATATATAAACATAACTACAACGAATTTGTATGGATATCCCAGCAACATTAGAACCCTTGTAAAGCAATTGACATAGGTAGATATGCAATTCCAAATAGTTTATCCATTCATCCTTCACATTAAGTGAATCAGAGTATTAAAAAAAATTGAGTGAAATGCAGAAATAAAGTTTACATAAGTAGAAGCAATATTAAAAAGAAAAAGTAACCAACCCCTAGACTCCATGGGGGCAGAGTGTGGGTCTCGATGATAAATGTAAGCAATTGGTCAGCCCGTCGGCCGCTGTCTCGACCCCTGGCTCGAGGTGTCTCGCTGCTCAGCTGATACTGGCTACTTGATGGGCTCATCTGTTATAACGGCCGGTTTATTATGTGCTAATTTCGCCTAAGGCTGCTCTTATTCCAGCCGATGGGTGGTCGATAACAGTAATGCGTATTAACTGTTTGTTCGGGTAGCAATCGGTTTATTAGTATTTGTATCCGTATTGTAAATGCGAAAGTCTGTGTGGGTATTGTTCCCTCTACGAACGAAATTGGTACATTGCATTTATAAGCAAAACGAAAAAATTGTATGGGAGCCCCAATTAAACACTTTTTTCATTCCAATTTGTATTATTTGTTGTCATAGCGGCAACAGAAATACATCATCTGTGAAATGTTTTTCCTATTTTTAAAATGTTTTTTCTCAAAATGCAATAAGCTTGAAATGTGCGTTCATTTCATAGTTTGATCTGAATTGATTTGATTGAATGTTTTAAGTAATTAAAAAAAAAAAAACATTCAATCAAATCAATTCAGTAAGTAATTAAAATATGTAAATTGTTTACGTTCAATGCGAGAGTAATAGTAAATATATAATATCGCAATGTTGTTTCATTTTAGCATTCGCTAAAACACGTGCAATTAACGCTACATCTGAGGTTTTGTTTGCGTGCTTGAAATATGGTATACGATTGAGTGTTTGGTTGAAGTATGATCCTTTATTCTAAAATAGGATATATTTTGTTAGTTAGCTATTTATGAATTACTTTTGGAATTCCAATATAAAAAAATAAATCAAATAAATTTTCTGATTACGTGCGCTCATCAATGTGTGTTTGTTCTTAGTGTGGGGCAAAAATGAGGTAATTTTTGGTTTAATTTCATTTGTTTTCTTCGAGCCCGTTTCATTATTTCTTTCACAATTTTTTCCAAAGACAGTTATGAAGAGCATCATTGAGAGCATTCCATACTTCCTGTGTTATTTATGTTCCATTAACGCCAACAGTAAAACCAAAACCCGAAAAGTACGCTACGATCACAAACGAAAACTGAAACACGAACGTATGAAAATGATACTGAGAAAAAACTTATTGTAGGAAAATTGAAAATTGCCAAACTCTTGTTGAAAAGGAGTAGGACGACAATAAAGCCATCCCTTCCAAATTAATTTTAAATATGGCTATGCCGCACTTAACAAATGAAAAACAGTCTCATATCAGATTGCACTGATCCGTTACAGTTTTACATATCAATCGCCCGTTACTTGACAATGGCAGAATTCTTTAAAGGGAAGAAAAAATTTCTTTCTTTCTTTAAAAAAAGAGAACGAAGAAGAACAATCGCCCGATCCAATAGCTCGCGGTGGCTCGAAATGGAAATTAATGCGTCAATTTAAGCTGTCGCAAACCGAACGGTGACATGACGAGAGAAGCCCGCTTTCCCAACGTAATTACAACTTTAATACTTGTTGCGAACCGACAAAAATACAGAGACGCCGTTAATGTTTTACGATGAACAAAATGGCGGTGGAACGAAGAAAGCGCGAATTGCATGGAGCGCCACGCTATTCGATTTTACACCTTACGCGTGTAGACACAAAGCTCGGCACGGGCGCACCGTCCATCGGTTCGCTGGAAGTTTATGAGATTCCCGGCTATAGCCTCTAATGGCTCGTCTGGGTCTACCCGCACTCCCCTCCATCTCGCGTCAATCGTAACTTCGAGTCGTAAACGATGCCTGCGAATTCCATACGAGCGTTTTTGCCGATCCAACGTTCGTATTAAAAGACCTCACCGCCCCGCTCGTCCCCAGAATAGAGGCTACGAAAAAAAAAAAATACGTGGCAAAATACACGTGTAGTGAGTGGGTTGAATATTAGTGTAATTATACTTCTTGAATTTATACGCTAGTTTTTTATTTCAAGCTGTTTGTACAAACGTCATTTTAATCCATTATTATTACATAATTATTCACAATCTTTTTGTAAAGGAGTTTGCTTTTATGCTTTTAAATGTTACGCTATTTTTTAAAACCATTTACCCCTGCACTGCCTTTTGGAGTCGGCTGTTGGCTTAATGACTTTAATGATGCCCCTATTTCTCTCCTGATTCTTATGATTCGGAATGGAATTCCAGCTCTTATTTAGTTAACTAGCTTTTCGCCCGCAGCTTCGCTCGCGTTGAAGCCCTTAAATAAATATCTTTCTTTAACCTTTTAACCCTTTACAACACTTTTTTCCAATTAAAAAAGCCTATGTCCTTTCTCAGGGACTAAACTATCTGCGTACCAAATTTCATTTAAATCGGTTCAGTAGTTTTGGCGTGAAAGCGAGACAGACAGACAGAGTTACTTTCGCATTTATAATATTAGTATGGATGTTTTAATCGAAACCAAAAATAAATAAAGAAAAACCACTACTCACATGTGACGTACAAATTCCATATCAGAGAAACAAATTTATGCAATTCTTGTTGCCAAAGGTCGTATTATCAAGATGATTTTCGCTTGCACACGATGTTTCCGCGTGGGAAAGTAAAACCGGAACCCTAAATCGTAGTCGTTACTTGTACTAGCAGTATTAGTTAGATATATGCATGAACTGGGCAACTACGTGAACATTACTCCATAAATTTCACTATATACGCTCATAACAAAAGCTATTTACTAGCAGTACGTGTGCGACGTACTAAAGTTCTAGCATAATTTGCAAAACCACGACCTGTCCACTACACAACATTAAACAGTGAGCCGAGTTGTTAACAAACTTGCGCTTTTATTTCGGATCGTTAAAAATAATTTTAAGAAAACCATTTGCATTTTTATAATGTAGTTGTTGTTCTTAAATTCGTTATTGTTTTCTTTGTTCATATTAGTGCTTGCATTAGACTATATATCGTTCCCATTAAGTATAGATAGGGCCTGAAGCTTAATTATGTTTATATGAAACAATAAGATCAGATCTAATATATTATGGGTTCCCATACATTTTCTCTGCATTATATATTTCGACACAGTAGAAGCGTTAGAAATTAGGTCAAAAGTTACATTGTGAATACTATTTTCAATAAATCTTCGCTCCGTGCAATTTAGAACAAATTCTATAAATTCTTCGATTCGTTGCTCGTTCCGTTAAATGCTACTCTGCTGTTTTATGGACACCCATAAAGCTGAACATCGCTGTGAAATGTTTGTGAATTTCATTACAGCGCTGTATCGTTAGTATTCCACTCGGCTCCGCTACGCTGCCGGCCGCGTAACCATCTAGATATTGCCCAGTGAATATCTTCGATAGTGCTACGGTGCTACGGCTCTACGGCGCTACGGTCGGAAAGTAACTTGAACTCGCATCATACTACAGACTCAGACTAGGAGAGTCTGTGGAGCTCGACTTTTCATTTGTCTTATATGTTAATTTTTATAAATTATAATTAGATTTTTTAGATGGGACCAAAATAAATAATAGAATAGTTTACCGTAACCAGAGTTTACGACGATATTCAAGTTGTACACGTTTGTTAACATTTTGTATGAAACCAAGTTATTATTAGTGATGCCTTCAATATTTCATATATTTTGTTTTACGAATGGATTTATTAGCATAATTTATTCCAAGCTACGTAATTCATTCCTCTAATCAGCCTTTCGTAGCACGGTAAAGAAACTGCAAAAGAGGATCTCCATGATAGCCACGATTCTCAAAATAACGCCTAATAATACATAGATTAGATCGAATGAATCATATTCAAAACTTGATATTAACGAATTAAAATTTTATCGCCTAATAATTTAAAGGAAAATTTCAACGCAATATAATCGAAAGGGCAGTTAAATCAAAATCTTTTCTTCTTTCAGTTTTCTTTTTTATGTTGAATGATCGTTTAATATACACGCTTGTGTATTTTTTATTTAAAGATGAACAAAGTAATAAGCCGTAAAATACTTGATATGTATATACCAATTAGATACAATATGTAATCTGTTATCAGTTACTATTGTGATTTTTGTTTTTTCTCACACCAAAAAACTTTTCAACGGAATGTTGTTTATGAACAAATATCGCCAGGAACATCTACGAGTACAAAACATATACATACATAGCGACATAAATTCCTTTGTCTAAGTAAAACAATTATTTTTCAAACGGTAAAACAATTGTGCCTACAGAAACGCCTATAAGGCTTGTATTTCAACTTATAATACACGGCTATATCGAGCTCGTAAAAAAGAGAACCGAGCGCTTTCGTCGAATGTAATTAATTTCGCGCGTCGCAGTTATGACGTCAGATTCACTAATTAGAACTCGGGGGGCTTACTTGGACTTTTAACGGCGGCGGACACATAGCAAAATAAAAACAAAAGTGCCATAATCTCCGGTTATAGGGCGTCCGGGACGAGTTGTAATTAATATTAAATAACCCCAATTCGTAACCCTCAGGATGTTCTTAATGAATGTGAGAGCGAATTAGAAACAACGGTGCGTGCTCGCGTCTTTATCCTAACACGGGGTAAATAGAGACAGGCGGTTTAAGTTTTACTGTCCTTACGTTCACTACTTCAGAACTTGGAAAAAAAGTAGTAATCCATACTAATATTAGTAACTCTGTCAGTCGGTCTCGCTTTCACGTCGAAACTACTGAACCGATTTAAATGATATAGGGAATGAGAAAGGAAATAGGCTATTTTTAAATTGGAAAAAAGTGTTGTAAAGGGGTGAGAATTCTTAATATTTATTCGAAGGCTTCAACGCAAGCGAAGCCGCGGGTGAAAAGCTAGTATAATTATAAAAGGAGTCACGCTTGATTTGGCACACTTAGAGTTGAAATAAATTAATATTTACGCAAATACATAAAAACCGGCCCAGTGCCAGTTGGACTCGATAAAATCATGTCTGTTGTATGGAGCCCTACTTTTTTTTTTTTAGTATTTTTGTTATAGTGGCAATAGAAACACATCGTCTGTGACATTTTCAACTGTTTTACTATTACGATTCTTGAGATACAACCTGGTGGCAGATGGAAAGACAGACAGACGGTTAGACAGCGGAGTTTTAGTAATAGGTTTATTCCTTTTACCCCTTGGGTACAGAAACCTAAAAATGATTAAAATTAAAAAATGGCGATTGAATATTGCCGTAGACTTTAACTTACTAAACAACTTTCTAATTTCTAAGAAAAAAATTGACAAGTCCATGAATTTCTACAGACAACACTTGAGGGATTGCACATTTTTTTGCATTGCCAACCAACCATTTTAAAAACTGTTATTTATCAACGCAGATAAATAATAAGTAAAGAGTCATTGGCTAGAACTTTCGGGACAACTCGAATATATGGTACTAAATGCTTGATGGATCCGTGAGAGGCGTGCCTCTTGCCACACACCGACCGCAGAGAGATGGCGTATTTTGCGCTGCGAAATTTGGAAATACGGAACAGACGCACGTGGCCGCCACTGGGAATCTAAACCGTGAATTATAATTACACCAACGTCACTGTAAAATAGCACGGACAACAAAGGCAGTGAATTCGTCTGCCAACTGCAAATCTAAATTCAAAACCACCTGAGCGTTCGACATCGCCGGGGTTATGAACGAGGCAGTTGTTCCGACGTCTTCCGTACATTCTGAATCTAATCCTGTACAGTGTAAAGTTGAATTTGGATCGCAGGCGATCTTTATGTACTTAAGAATAACCGAATTAGTGCTCGGAAAGCAGACCGTATTACGTACTGCATAGCATACAAATCGTTTGTTCACTCCACACGTTCATCGTGCGTTTCAATAACAACCTTAAGCGTTGAAGCATATACGGTTCAATCTACTTTGAATAGATTTCATATTTTAATTTTGGACTTCAATCGAATATCGAGCTTAACGCATGTGCGGTGAGTTTAGTTTGCTTTGAAGGATTTCTATAGATGTTGCGAGAGCCCGGGTTGAGCTTGGATCCTTGGAGACCTTCTCCCCTCGCCTCACACAATAGCTGCACTTGCAAAGCGCACACACGTATGTATGTCTTAGCACTTACGCCCTGACGATTAGATGTCACACAGCGGAGTTCCAATATTGGCGAACGTCTGATCAAATATTTGCCAATTCCCAATGCCAGTCGTCTGTTTTCGTGATTACGTCGTCGAATTGTACAATTTCGTTCACATCTGTTTTTAATTGGATTTCACGCGACAAGGGTTACTGTTTTATTTATTCAAAAATTGTTTGTTATTATAAATTTTTCTAATTTTAAAACTGTTATTTGGAAAAAGTTTTACAATTCAAATATCGAAACGTTTGTCATAGTTTACATTAAGATGAGATAATATAAAAAGGAATCGTAAATTATATTACATACACTATGTATATACACTATACATTGTCTATAGTTCCGGTTAGATTTTTATATTTTCTAAACACCGTTGAGTACATAATAAAGCGATTATTTGGTACCACCAAATGATCACTTACTTACACAATTTTATCACAGTTGAATAAAGATATTTTGAATTTGAATTTAAAATTTTGTGGACACCGCGAGCACCTTTCGGGTAAAGCACTTAGGTACTCTTAACACTAAGCTTAGCGGTCGCTAACCTCACAACGCGAAAATCTCATCGTCTAACTTTGTTTTCGATAAGTTGTCTACAATTCATGTTTACGGTCTAAAAACATGGAAATGGTATCCTTGTCCCAACTTATTTTTTATGAAACTGTCAACTATCTGTGGGTCGCACAAATGGTTGTCCGTGTGGGAATCGAACCCACGACCCCCGACGCTGAAGCCAATACCTTGGCAACGGCGCCACGGAGTCCTCAAAAGTTTTGTGTTCGATCTATGCAGAATGAACTAATTTTGACTTAGAGGGTTGGGTGCTACCACCAGCTTGGGATCCTATTATAATAAAATTAAATATAGGCCCAAAAGAACCACTATTGCAAGACAAGATAAAATTTAGTTTTATGATATTTTCATTACGTATATGTAAACAAAACGAAACAAATGTCTGACTATAAAATGGTATTTCACGTCAAGAATACGTTTCCACGGCCTCCCTATTTCACCCTCTAGCGAATTCAATGAAACTGGGGTTCATTATAGTTGACAGTTGCACAAAATATCTTTAACCAACAGCCGGTGGGCTCCAGAGAATAGATAGAAATTGCATCACTAGCTCGGACTCCTTTGGGAGAATGGGTGCAACGAAATTGAGTTACGTGTGTTTGGCTCGGTGCGCTCTCTTCACAATGTAGTACATAGGAATATGATCCCAATTCCTTTTTATTGCAGTGTGGTGTAATTACAAATGTCTGCGATACTCAAATGTGTTAATACAATGTGACTTCACTTGCGATGTTTAACCACATATAGTACGGCTTCAAATCAATAATATTTTAAAGTATTATAATTATTTTTTTAAAGAATTAAAATTATTTTTATATGTTTATAGTTTAGAGTATAAGTATAACTAGTTGTGCACACTTACCCACTTACCTATCATAATTTGTCTGTAATCTTATGTCAGGGGTTTGCTGGCAGAGAACTCTTTTTAGGGTCAAGCTCGCCTTTGTTAGAATTTTTTATTTGACCTTAACTTTATTCCCGATTTTATTGTGTCTACAATAAAGAATAAAAATATCAGACAAGATTATGTGTAAATAATTACTTATGCTTACACACAGGCGAGTGATCAAAGATTTATATTATCCAATAAACTGGCAAACTTTGTAAAACAGTTTTATTAAAAAAAAAACGAAATATTACGAAATAATAAATTCAATTATGAAGCATGAACTGAAGATTTGAAGAAAAAGTTTATACAATCTAATCGTCCTTTCATTAATGAAAGAGTCAAATAAAGTTATCATGATCTATTTATATATAACCTATAATATCAATGACCCAGTGCTGGGCTTATGCCCACGCCGTGAAATGTCCCACGATCCAACTTCGCATACCTTCGAAATAATTTTCTTAAAAGCTTTTCTTCGTTTAAAGGCACGCACGTGTCTTAACCATTTTTGCTTCATCGTCGATGGTAAATCATCAGGGATCTGAATTTACTAGGCTTGCTGTCACATACATATTTAACAGCTCGCCCTGTACACTGAGCTACTGTATAATTGCAATGAGTCTATATTGAAATTCTAAGCCATATTTTACTAAAGATTGTATACACTTTAAATGACAACCAAAAATGCTTTAACGTCAATAATATTATAGCCGTTAAAGCATTCTGCTGCCGATACACTTATTTCAATTAATTTGTCTCAGCACGCGCTGGATCGGCGAAAATCCCGTCTGCGAAATAAGTTTCAAAGTTTAATTGTTTCGTAATCGATTGGAAATTGCACACGTGCCGAGGATTTTGGCGTCCGCAGTGCAAAGTGCGGGGGTTCATTCGAACAGTTTGGAAACAATTTTCGTTGCAATCGAATTAATATTTATATAGTGGTAAATAGTTAGTATACTGGTAAATGCTGTATACTGGTAAATAGTCCAACGTAGGCTACATAGACACAGTCCTGCTGAATAGACCAAAATAAGAGTAATCATATTTGTCTTTCTTCAAGGCGACTGCAAAACGGAGAATAGTGTCGCGCCACGAGGGGTAATTAATAAGAAATCACGGACCCATGGTGCAGCCAGTTTCGGAACAGTTTGTTTAACGCCCACAAAATAATGTCCCTTGCGGAATTCGAACCCACAATAGCTGAAAGCGAGGTGGCTACTTGAACAATGCTGACATTCGCCTTTTAACGTTATACAAAACTTCTAGATCGAGAAGCACATTATATATTTAGGATTATTTTTTTTATTTTTATATTTTTCTTAGGATTAAATGTGACTTTAATAAATATATTGACGCGATATCTAGACGTGACCACATTCACGTCCCACAGTGGCGAAAATGTTTCGACTAGTTATTTACATTTTAACATATTATATTTAATTTTTATTTTAGCATTTAAATTGACATCGATTAACATTTATTATATATGGAAATGGTTTTATAGGCTTTGAATGTTTTCAAACTGTTAACCATAGATTTAACGAGACGCGTGTTTTTTTGAACAATTTTGGCACCGAAAACAAACAATAACAGTACAACGTAAAACTGAAAGACATCTATGTAATTCTAGGTGACCCGGGCGATATTTTTAAAAAAGTTTTTTTATATAACAATTTAATAGGTTCCACCTATCTATTTTTGTCAATAGGGGCAAATAAAGGGTTTCAAACGATATAATATGAATTATTTATGTTTGATGAAAAACTATAGAAACGGACAAAAAAAGAACATATGAGAAACAATATATAGCGACGATGACACTTATACCCGAGAGTCTGAGTTGCGTAGTGGGCGAGACAAACAAAATAAATCAAAATTAGACCGTCCCTTTAAATAATTTCTGACTGTAATGGAGAATCGCCGTTCGCAGTCATTTACAGAAAATATTTCGTCCTTTCCAATTTTCCCGCCGCCTTTATTTCGCTCCTGCAACCCGACGTTGGCTGCACTGCGTCTCACAAAGGAAACGCGGAGGAACACTCATTCAGCGCGCCTTTTTGTCTCGGTCAAATTGAAAGGAGAAATTAAAAAAAAAGACTCGGGGGGCCCCCCATCCGGACGATCCGAGCTGCAGCGGCACCGGCGAGATGCGTTTTGAACGGGACAAAAACGAGCCACGCTCGCCCTTTAGCCGGACAGATGTAAAGGTGTGTCGTAGGGTCTCCCAGCCGACCGGAAGTTTCCGGTCCAGCGCCCGCGAAACGCGCTTTTTGACGCGCTTCCCGTTCCGTACGTCTAAAAGATCCCGCTGCATTCAGCACAATTTGAATTTCATTGCACCGGACGTCCGTAAATTGACCTTCAATATTCTTTTTTAATTTGTTTTTAATATTTTAGTACACATTTTTACACAACGTTCTCTAGTTCCAAACTAAGCAACGCTTGTACTATGGGTACTAGAAAACTGATAGACATACTTAAACGTACATATTATAAAAATATATACACCCAGACACTAGAAAAATACTATATACACTCATCACACAATATTTTTCCAGTAGTGGGGATCGAACCCACTTCAATGGGCTTTGGCCTCTAGTTACCGGAAGAAACTCTTTGGTTTTCTACCATCTTTCTTGCAGTTAATTTATGAACCGCTGGAACGCATTTATTAAATTATTACAGTTCATAAATCGTGATGATTCCAGGATGTTGCAACACTATAGACATCGTTATATCATTTTGTCTAATTAAGTAATTGATGAAAACGAATTACAGATTTTATTTTTAAGGTCCAAATACTTTGAACGATTCGTAGTAACGTATAAATTTAGTTGAGCTCTAAATATTGAACAAGGGCAACCATCAACTTTTTAATTATTCCTTTTTGCTCCTTCCACTTTGAACGTGCTAACAGTATCTAGAAGTGTTGCAGTATCGATAAGTTTATTATAATGTTGTACTTCCCTGGCAGGCCATTTGAAACCTGCTGGTTCCACTAGTCAGTCAGATGGCGCCATGTTTGCCTTTAATATCCTTAAACGTACGCCCGAACAAAGCCCTGCCTTAATGTTATTAGGTACCGCGAGAGCGCTGCGCAGGGTTAATATGGAAGACGTATACGACAAGTTTTAAATTGGAAAGCCCCGGCGATATATAACGCACATATTTACCTCGACCGGTTATTAAATTGCACCCGAGCGCTATATTACTCGTTGTATAAATAAAACTTTATCAAGTCTCTCAGACGAAATGCCTTTCGTGTTTACGAAGGCAAACGGTGAACTCAAATGTTTGTCGTACAGTTTTATAATAATGCAATTATACGACATGTATTGCGACCAACATTCCTTTAGACAAGCTCTCAATTTATTATTAAAATATTAATGATTCGTGTTGCATTGATCTGATATTAAAACGTATTTACTACACTTAGAAACACAGGGATATATGTTGTTCGTACAATTATGAATTAGAAATATGGAAAAAAGGTATTAAACGAAAACACAGGAAAAAGGAGTCATGAGTGACAGCTCAGCTTATTATATTGATAATAAACTCACTTTGAGTTCAAATATTTTTACTTTTTTGGATATTGTACGTAAATAAATACTCTCTCAATCTCTATATTTTCTCAGTGGTGACAGATGAAGGATGTACAAATAAATACTTACACACAGCTAAAATAGTTGACTTAGAAAACTCTGTCTACATCGTCAGGAGGCAAGGAAGAAATTGGTTTCTAATAAAATTAATACCAACCGTATTCACCAACGCACCGTGCGAAAATGTAAGTAAGTACTGCAAACAAATAGATATCTTTATTTCGATAACTTGCATCGACATAGCTGGGATACTACGCGCAATGCGCGTCCCTTAATCATTTTAACCTCCGCGCGTCGGGCGTTCTACACAATGGATAGACATTTGGTCTATGTAACGCCCCCTATTGATAGCGCGTTGGCACCGGGAGGGGCACGTGCGTGTGCAATGCGTTCATTAAGCTGCATTGTTCACGCTTGGGCGAAGTCGAGGCGCGCGAAAAATGCCCGAGACCGCCACGCGCTCGGATCGAGGGAAATCTGTATATTGCTTTCGAGGAACAAACAAACCGTTCAGCGTCTATACCTACGCTTCTATGTTCACCTCCATGTATATCTATGTTTGCATCGACTGTCTATGTTTATATCATCACGTTATCTCCTTTATCTAATATATCGTGATCTCTATGTTACTGTTTGTCTGTCATCAGGCTGTATCTCATGAACCATGATAGTTGGACAGTTGAAATTTTCATAGATGATCTATTTCTGTTGCCGGTATAATAATCAACACTAAAAACACAATAAAAAAATATTTAAGGGGGGCTCCCATGCAACGGACACGATTTTTTTTTGAATTTACATTTTGAATTTACATAACCGTAACCATTTACATAACCGTAACCATTTTACATAACGGTACAGAACCCTTCGTGCGCGAGTGCGACTTGTAATTGGCTGTTTTTTTTTAAAGGTTGTCAACGCATCTGCAAGTCATTGTGTATTGTAGATGTCCATGGGTGTGGTTCATGTATTCACTTAATGTAATGCCTAATTTTTGGTAGGTTATATTTTTCTCTACGGGGATATTATGGACGAAGTTTTATAGCGCGGTTAAAGTAATATTGAATTGAGTTTCAAAGAAACATTTCAGCAGTACTCCCCTGTATTGGGAAACAAAAACGATATAATTTATTAGATCAATAATCGACTTAATTCCAAGAAAATTTGTTAAAGGTAAAAGGTTTCGCAAAGATTTCTACACCTTAACTACAATTACCTATTTATTTTATACCGTGAAACGGTGTAATATGATACAACTAAGCAATAGTTACTCAAAAAATAAAGAGTCTTTTTTGAAGAGGAATGAATATTTTTGTTTTTTTGGATTTTGTTTCACAAAGCCGCACAAATTTGATTGACACATTTCAACAACGAGAGCGAACCTTTTATGCCTTTGAAATGATGAAAAAATTGCTACGAGGAAAAAGACTTGCCGTTATTTATTATTCAATATAAAGGACTTGAATAATAAATAAAGAAATTGTAACTTTCATTATTTAATATCTTCTCAGTGGTTTCGTTTCTAGTGTTCGTTTTCTTGTGATCTTTTTCTTGTTGCTATTAAGAATCGTTCGAATGTATGACATGTAACTAAATTAGTGAAGTAATAAAATAAGTTAGGTTTTGCACAAAAATAGGAAATAACAACTGGCTTTTAGTCCGTGTCCATGGATCGCTAGTTCGACTTATTATTATATTTTTATTGCTATTTATACTAAAATATTTTTAGGATTCGCGTTAATACTGTACATACATTTCGCAAAACTTTGTTTTTAGTTTGGGACTGATTCCGGTGTAGTTTCTCCTGGAAAGCGCTTGGGATAACGAATAACGAACTATACATAAAATCCTTTATTTTTTTTTTCTTTAATTTATTTCTCTCTGACATTTAAAATATTAAATATAACTAAATTTGACGTAATAAACTTATCCACGTGGCATGGTGCCAAGAACTCTGCATTTCCTCACTGAATAGTTATGCTTAACCTTTGAGCGAGAAAAAAAAAACAGCCGTTTGGTTACCAGCCGCGGCGATAAGCATAGAACATTTCAATAAGTGGTGATAAATAAGAGATGGTATATAAATAAAAAAATAACAATAAAAATCCTTTATTTGGCAGCAGCCTCGGCTGTTGCACGAATGGGCAGGCTCGTCCGGGTAAGTACCACGACCTTACAGAAGACCGGCGTAAAGTGGAAGTATAATACTTTCGCGTTTCGTCTGGTGAGTGAGGTGGCCGGAGCCGAATTTTCAAAAGGTTGTCAACATGTATTCACTTAACATCTGGTGAACCGCCTGCACGCTTTGCAACTTATCACTTAAAAAAAAGAATCAAAGCATTGCTGGTACAGTATTTTGAGAATTTAAATTCGCTATCGGTCTGTGAAGTGGGACGGTCAAGTTTCCGCCATTGAATTATACATTACGCGACCGATCCGATTTTAAATTCCACCACTACGAACAAATTTTTGAATGGAAATTATATTATTATTATTATATTATACATACTTTATTGTACACCACAAAAAGTTTTATACAGTTGATATAAAATAAATCTTAAAAGCCAGTTACAATAAGGCGGTCTTATCGCTAAAGAGCAATCTCCTCCAGACAACCTTAGGACAAAGAAAATAAACTTATGAATAGTGGGAGGTGGTGTGCTTAATAAAGTTACTTAATAATAACAAAATAAACTTTAATAAACATAAATAAATATATAATATATATAATTAACATAAATAAATATAGATGAAAGTATAATAGATTAATATTGTCAATGTTACCTATGGATTACAAAGGGAAAGATAATGATTCTTTGCGTCATTTTTAAATTTGTCTAGCATCTTTGCACGACGAATTTGCTAAGGAAGTTCATTCCACAAGCAGATGGCCTTGACTGTAAACGAGTTTTTGTAATATTTGGTTTTATACGCGTGTGGTTCTAAAATTTTAATTGCTGATTTACCACTCGCTTGTGTTAATTTAAAATTAGCATGTCTGAGAGCATAGCTTTTCCGTAGCCCATACTCATGTAAAATTAAATTTCTGATCCTTTTAGTTAAGTTAATACTATTATTACTTTTCATTAAACATTTTACTCTAGGCTAGCATCACAATGTATATAAGTAAGTAGTATATAATTATTTTTAATGCAGACATTTTTACTTAACTTACGAGTTAAGTTTAACAACTTACTATGTACGTAAACATTAGCAGCGTGTATTTGTCTTTAATTCTTCACCAACGATTGCCAGTTAATTAATAACTCATTTCTAATTACGACATCAAACGCATTATATATTTCCCTGAACCTTGTGTCTAATGAAGTTACTTATCTTCATGTCGTTTCGTGTTCATAGTTTTCTACGTCTACGTCTGGTGCTACGTTTACAATTTAACTTACTTGCTAGCTTACACTATGTCCAGGTATCTTAACATCGTCTCCGCTTCTTATTAGTTTTTTTGTGTGTTATAAATCGGTTCATAAAAATCAATAGAATGGGTTCCGGCTACCTACCTCACCAGGCGAAACGGACCTGATCATTCGTGCAACAGCGAAGACTGTTCTAGCCCAAAAAAAAAGCAAGTAGGCGAAACTGTAAAGGCCCCCAAGGCCAACAGTCATCTCATCAAGCCCAAAAAAAAAAAAGCGAAGACGTATGTTGTTTTTCACATACCGTACATATTGATCGGTTACTGTTAGTTCTT